AGGTGCGGGCGCGACACCGAGGGTTGCGATCCCGTTGCCGGTCCCGGTCCGGTACGGGCGCGACACTGAGGGTTGGGATCCGTTGCCGGCCACGAAAAAAAACAAAAAAAAAAAAAAAAAAAAAAAGAAAACAATGTCATTATTGTAATAATACAGAAAGTGTAAATAATACTCACTTTGGGTTATTAAAAATACAATGAAGAAAAACATACAGGTCAAAAGTTTTAAGCATTGTTAGGCTTAAAAGTTAGGATCATTCAGACCTGCAGTTTCTAAACTGAAGTCACTCTTAAAATAAACTGATGTCTGTAACCGCGTCACAAGAGAAAGCAGCCTTGCTGATACATTACCGATATTGGCTCTCCTCTTGATCTCCTTCCGTCTGTTAGCAAACCAATTATATACTTTCAGGGAGGTAACTCGTTCCAGATCTGACAGTTTTTTGCCTGTAAATGCATGCAATAAGTCAGATAATCTATATCTGGAACCCATGAATGAACTAATTTTAAGGAATAACACTTTTCTTTTAAAGTTGCTTTTGATTGCATTAAATGCCAACATAACAAGTGCAGGGGGGAATTATTTTTTAGCATTACCTAGTACCATGTACACACTCAAATTATTTTTGAACAAATAAACACATAAATGGATACACAAATAGCAACTGATGACAAAATATGCTTCATTTCAAAAGGCCATAAACAATATTAAAGCATTCTACAAAGTCAGCCGGCTTGGGTGCCAGATCAAAGTTCATGTGATAGTACGGGGGAGGATTCATTTAATTGGCATCATTCTAGAGGAATAAGTTATTTTTTTAATCAAGCATCCAGATAATAAAAGTTTACTTACACCTTTAAGACCTTATATTAACTAGTTTCCTGCTGTCTTAAGACAGAGGATGTTACACATTTTCTTGAAGGCTAAAGGCCAGTACGATCATCCACAACTGTTACTATCGTGGAATACATAGCACAATTCAGGTTGTAATCTAGAATTATCATCGTCTTTGCTATCAAATGTAACTTCTTACAGATAACACCATGCTTGCCAATAAGGACCCACCTATATCATTCCCTCCTCTCCTGTCCTTTTCTGTTTTTCAGCTTTTAATCCACAGTGGGTGGAGAAACCAGAAAACAGGTTTGTTAGGGCCTTGATGATATAGGAGTCAAGTACTTAGGGAGAGTTCAAGTTCGTGCACGGCTTTAGGGCAGGAACTTTTGGCTTGTGTAAAAGGGTACACAGGTTCTTCTCACTTGAGTGTTTTTGGAGCTGAGTTTCTACAGTATAGATTTCTAGAAGTGTGGCTTCTGGGTATGGGAGAATAAATTACTGTTTGTTATAAAACGTTGATATTTTGTATATAGCCTTGAATATAAAACACTGATATTTTTGTATATAGCCTTTAAACCAATCAAAATAACTGGCCAAATGGAAATCAATCAGATCATCTTAACTGAGAATGGTTTCTGGTAACAAAATCTGTAAAATGTGGAATAATATTTTAATGCATGGAAGAAAATACATACGAAATATTTAAGTGGTTTTGTTGACTTGCACAGGAACAACAGGACTTCAAAATGGTATTACCCTAAGTTTTTCCCAGCTAAACAGAAGTCATTCCAATTTGAGAAGGAGCCAACTCCAAAAAGAATTCTTTCCCCCAAAAGGAATACAGAATTATATAATTTACAATCATTGTAAAAGAAAAAAAAACTATCATAATATTTTTTATCAACAAACTTTCTCAAACTAAAACTATTTTGGCCTGATCCCCATACCCCCCACTACCAAAAAAATATATAGATTTATCTATATGTCTACAGATACATCTAGATATACCAGAATTGATATATTTATGCTAAACTTTTGAAAAATAAATTATATATATATATATATTTTTTTTTTCTTTCCTTTTTTGTCTTTTTTCGTGACTGGTAACGGGATCGCAACCCTTGGTGTCACGCCCGTACCGCGACCGGCAACGGGATCGCAACCCTCGGTGTCGCGCCTGCACCACGCTCAACCAGTGAGTGGACCGGTCTCTATATGGGATCC